CTTAATCTATTGTAGACATTTGTATTTTATTGTATGATGATTCGAGCAATGTTTAATCAGCTAATATTTGCATTTAATTTTGTTTACTTCACTTATGACATATTACTAAGTTTATCCACACAAATAAAACTAATTAACTTAATTATTAAACTAACTTAATTATTAATTTATTTTCATCATATAAAAAAGTACTTTGATAAATAAAGCTTACCTTCACAACTTGGGATTTTCTCAGTATAAGTGCAAGAAAATTTTAAAATTAAATTAGTCAAAGAACATAAAATTTAAAATATCTGATTAAATACTAATATATTTCCCATCAGAATTGAAATATAAATAGTTCTGTAATCTGAACCATGCATTATAAAGTGAATTAAAGTCAGTTTGAAATTGTGCCGCTGCACAACACAAAAACCTCCCAGTTTTCTGTCAAAAATTTCCAAAGTTTTAAGGCTGACATCTGTGATATGTACTTTTTTCTGAAAAATGCTCACTTTAAAGCCAAAACATTTGTCTAGAATGATATCTAATTCTATAAGGAAGCAAAATTTCTGGAACAGTATTTATTGCATCTCATTTTTTTAAGCTTTAAAGACGCCATTATCTTTTCAGTACCTAAGGAGATTTGATTGCTATTCATATTTTGATAAAATTTAAAATACTCTTAGGTTAGAAAGATTTAGAAGATTTTTAAGTTCTTAGGTTAATTTAGTTTTCGTAAATTACCAGTCTGCATTATGATCAAGTATAATATTATTTTTAACCATTGTATTCATTTTATCAACTTACATATGCTTAAATTTTATATTTTTGAGTGTAACTGTTTGACATGTTTACTTACTAAACGAAAAAAGAGGGGTTAATTCTTTTGAAAAATTAAAAATGATAGAGAACTGTGAAATATTTTTTCAGTCAGGAAAATATATAATTTAGCATCTGTACACCTTCCCACGCTTTAAATTTTAATATAAATACAATTAGAGGAGGAAATTATATATTGGTATCAATTTTTCTAAAATTTTGTTAATTTAGAAAATGATAGGCACAGGTTCCTTTTCTTTGGCAGCCAAACCAGTTCACTTCTGAAGAGTGGAGACTTGTGTAATTTGCCTTTAAAACTAATAAAGTTTCATTGAAATCTGTGTTTATCTAAGACAGATCTAATCTATGCCAATTCTGTACCCCTAACTTATATTTAATACAAATTTTTATCATGTGTCAATTTTTTGATTAATTTTATATATCTTTATACTGTATGTCAAAAATTATTTTATGCAATTATTAAGTCAATGGAAACTAGCTCTGTAGAACAGCAGTGTCAAAGTTGAAAAGTTAAAATAAAAATGTTTGAAGAAATAAATAAAATTGGTTTGTTGATCCAAACTGAATATGTTAAAACCATATTGAGTTGTATTTTAAAAAAAAAAAGTAATATTATCTCCAACATCTGTATGTCACTCTTCGCTTAAAGCAGAGTTCCTTAAACTTTTTTTAGTCGCGACCCCTTTTTATCACTGAGATTTCTTCGAGATTCCTCATAATATGTAGAAAAATTTTGTGGGACCCCATAAGTATTGTACAAATCTGTCACACGTGTGAGTGAAACTGTCAATTTTCTCACTTTTACTGTAATATACTATTGCAGTTTTAGGTCATTAATTTTAATATCTAATTTTAAGGCATAGAACAATGTGAAAATTTTAATAAGTAACAAGCAAAATGACAGCGTCACGTGCAAAGCAAGGGAACTGAACATTTCTTTTATAAAAAGCGTGTGTCAAAACATTTTCTTTTTTTTTTACTCTTTGTCTGTATTGTCTTATCTTTATCTAGTATTTTCAGTTACATTGTGTAAAAATATTTGGTAATTGTAAAATTATTATAATAAGTTAAAGAAACATCAAAACTGCTAAAATTTTTGGTGACTCCCTAATGCAGGTCGCAACCAATAGTTTAAGAAACCCTGACTTAAAGGATACTGAGCACACTAAACTGAAATAAATAAGTTTTTTGCTTTTTTTCAGCATTGGTTTGACAGTCAAAGGGTAATTAAAAAAAAGAAAGTCCTTATGAAATTAGAATTAAAGCAGCCTTAACTTACACATCAGGATCTGCTGAATGAGCCAATCTGGATTATAAAGTGTTATTCCATTGCCTTTATGCCAATTAAGAATTACTTAGAATTAATAATTACTTAGAATGTCATCCTGTCAGTAATTTTAATGTTATTTTAATTCTCGCATTATTATTGCAACCCAACTGATTTAGTGGTTAGTCGCTAACTGCTGTACCAATGGGCCCAGGTTCAAATTCTGGAGAAGGTGTGGGAGTTTCTAAGCATATAGTATCTGTATAGAAAGGAGGCATTCAAAATACATGGTGAGCCAAAATCTTTTTGAGAGGTTGTGGGTAGGGAAAGAAGATAGAATACCTTCGGACCAACCTGGGAATGTTCTTCCTCAAAATTGGAGCAGAAGTTTAACAGTTAGCTAGGTTCTGCAATACTTCTGTCACCTGTGGTACTGCAGAGGTGCTGGACTAGCTTCTATTGTCTCGTTATTACTTTAATATTAAGTTATTTTTAATAAGATTTTTTTAATAATATTAAGTTAATTTTAGAAGAAATTCACTGCAGTTATATATTTATTTTGAAGTCATGTATTTACATACATAATATTACATAATATAAAACATCCACATTGGATTTCTCACAATACAGTATTGTCTTCCCACTATACACAGGATGCCATGCTGTACATGAAGTGCTATCAAAATTATTAGAACAAAACTAACCTGAACATCTGTCTAATTTTTCTGCAAGCATTATCTACATCAAAATATATAAAAGGGAAAAAAGACTGTTTCATTTTATTTGTTTTTACCCCTATAATTTTAATTGAATTAATTAGGTGCAAGTTTTTTTTAATGCAAATTATTTTGTTGTCTCATATATTAAAAGCAAATAAAAAAATTTTTGCTCTTTGCTCACAATATTTTTAGCTCAGAGGGCTATTAATTTCATTTTGCATTCAATCCCTATAAATGGCACATCACTTTTCAGATTATTGCCACCAAATATTATCACCCTGTATTATATCAAAAAAAATTAAATAATATCAAATCTGCGTAAATGTATGTATGTTTCTCGCATTATGATAAATAATGGCACCTAGAGCCATCAAATTTTGAATAACATAATCCTCCACCCAAATATGGGCATCTGAAAGCTCAAATTTGAAATTTGTTTTATTTTCTATTTTATATTTTATAAAACTTAAATGAATTTTTGATTAACAAACTCAATGATTTCAAAGTGAGCAATGCAACACTGTATGGGAGGGGGGGAATTATGTCCAGTATACAAGACTGTGTATTGGAAATTCTAAAGTTATGCTCTTTTTAAATTATTTTGTGATATTGCTGTTGAATTGAATTTTATGGTTTAAATGCGAAAAACGTGATATTTAATAAATAAAGATAATACACTAAACATTTAAAAAAAGTCTCTTTGAACAATAGAGAAATGTGTAAAGTAATATCAAATCTGAATAAGTAATAAGTTATATCAAATCTGAAAACTTTCAGTTTTTTTTTTTTTTTTTTTTTTTTTTTTTTTAAAGATTTGATATTTTAATTTTGCTCTTTTTTTAGGGGGAAAAGTTTTTTGGGGGGATGGAAATATAAATAGAAGAATTATAGGACTTTTATCCCTCCTTTCTAATATTTCCCAGTGCAACAGTTTTTCCAGTATGAAATGCATCATAATTGTCCTCTAAGCAGAGGTGTTGAGTAAAAGCTCTAAGTGATGTTGACTGGCAGGATAAAAGATGCAGCTAATATTAAGTGCTTATTAAATTCTATAAACTACGTCTCTGTTAGAGGAAATACTGGCAGATTTCAAACAAGAAAGAAGAGAATGACAATGAAAAATCACTGCTCAGAGTGTTAGATTTCTTTTATTAAATAGCCTTAAAAAAAGAAAAGAAAGTAACCTGCTAGGTATTGCAATAAAACAAGTGATCTCTTCAGGGAAACAGAAAACTAAGTAGCTTTGCTGTTTCAAGAAACTCTATAAAATTTATTATTTGAATAATCTTTAACAAACTGTAAGTCAAACTTAGAAGAAGAGTAAAGTTTGCTAGAAAACATACAGTAGAATAATGGATTAAAGTTTTTTCTCTAGCGATTAATCTAATTGTTAATTTTCTCATCCCCCCAAAAAAAGATTATCTAATATACATCAAATTCTTATTCATTATATATACCAGCTTATTTATGACAACGTATTGACCTGAAGTTTACCTCTAAGCCAGGGGTTTATAGTAAGCTTGGTATTGACTGCTTGAGTGTTAATGAAATTTTTAATTGGATCATTAATGATCAAGTTTGATAGCCAAATATGCACAGCAGTTGATCAGCATAATCAAGATCCCATTGGTTACAAAAAACATTTAGTTAATTAGTTGTTTATTGATGTAAAACTATATGATGTAGTAAGGAAGAAATCATATAAGAGAAATAATACTCTAAAATTATTTAATATATTTTTAAACCAATAATATTTTTTACATATATAAATTTTTTATGCATTAAATGATATATAAAAAAAGTAAAACACAGTAGAAAAAATACAAAGAATGCTAAACTAAAATAGAAAACAAGAAACAAATTGGATATTTTTTAAATATTATTTAAGAATTAAATTAAGCAGTTTTTGCCTAATATTAAAAAAGTTCTTCAATGTGTAGAGTGCAGCTATCACATTAAGAGAAATCGAGCTTTTGTGCAATTAGAATCTCTTATTTGATCTCTTAAAATTTGTTTATATTTGTAAAATTAAAATCATAATTATGCAAGAAAATGATTAAACATATATCATATAAACCATTTAAAAAAACTTTGTTCATTTTCTTAGTCTAACTGTTATCTTATGTCTCTGTTTCTCATTTTATCTTCCTATAACATTCTACTTCTGTCTGCTTAATTGCCTTTTTTTGTAGATTGACACAACCAGCATTGGGGATGACTCTGCACGAATTCACACAGGTGCAGGATGTTACAAAAACTTTGATCACTCCTTAGATGGAAGTATTGGAAATGTTCAACGGAAGAACTCTCAAGCACAATCTTTGCCTTCAGGAGTTATGATATCCAATACTAGCAATCTTCTTGATATTCAGGGACAGCCTAATGAGGGTGGATTATCAAATGTGAACCTGAACCATTTGAATAATTCAAATATCCCTCCAAGCTACCAACGAGGATTCATATCATCATCGGTTCGAAAACATATTTTTATGATTTTGATAAATATACAAAGTTCTTTTTATGTCATTTTTGGTACATATATTTAGCATAGTAGAATCATCTGACTTTTTGAATCTGTTTTCGCACAGAATGTGATATACCATATGTTTGGAGAAAAAATTTTTCCCATTAACTTGTTTCGTTTCTTTCTTCCCCTCCCCCTTCCAGAATATGAGATACTTCTAATGAATAGTTTTTTCTCTTCACAGTTCTTTCTAATTAGGACTTTTATTTTTAAATATTTTTTGTTTTAAATGCCAACATAATTTACATTCAAACAAATGGCCTTCTAATATGAATATGCGTAAACTGCAATGTGTCTGAGCTTAATGTGAATTCTGTTAAAATGCAGAAATGAATTTATTTGTCATCTTTTCTGTGCAAAAGTTCATACTGTATCAAAAAAATGGAGAGGAGCTTTTTTTTTTTTTTTTTTTTTTTTTTTTAAACAAACCATTTATTGTTTTGGTTTTTATATTTAGGCATTTCAATAAATTGAAAAGAAAACAAATTATAAAAAAAAAGAAGTACTCTAATTAAGGTAAAATAACATGCCAAACAAATATTACCATAATTTCAGGTAGATAAGCCCCGGCTTATGCGTACTTAAAAGTTAAAAATTTAGGTCGGCGGCCAAACTGAGGGATTTTTTTTTTTTTTTTTCTGTGTCCTTAAAACTTCACTTGTTCATATCGTAAGCTGCGCACAAGCAAAACAATAAGAATTCGCTGCAATATTCCAACCTCAGATTGCTCTAAGTGCAATAAGTAAAAACTTGCATAACTAAGGTAGGTGGCGCTCTCTGTAGAGACACTGTAATGCATATACTTTCTGCTAAGCTCCATGGTTTTGCCCTCGTTTTCCTATGATATTTTGTTTTAATGGAAACAGCTATGTTTACTTTCCAAGTGCTGTGTTCATTCTTACATGATTTTTACTGTTTTGTAGCTTATTTTTTGCTAGCCTTATCATTCGCACTTTAAAAATATTACTATTATTATGGCTCCTACTCGGAAAAAAAGTTATACAGTCAAAAGTCGTTAATTCGGACACCCATAATCCGGACCTCAAAGCTAAAAACTTTCTGCGCATGTGCCGCGTTGACGCATGCGCATAGGCATTTACGCGTGCGCATAAGACTTTTACAACTGCACATATGCGTGTGCGCAAGCGCAGAATATGTTTTCGCGTACACGTTTAATGTATAACGGACGGTATAAGCTAAAATTATCTAATTATCTATTTCAGTTAATGTTGATGATTGCATTGTTCCTTAATCTTTGAATTGGATCCGGCTTATTATTTTTTGCAGACTGTAAGAGCAATTTTATAAAAGTAAGCTTGAACTTTCGATTATGTCAAATAGAATTTTCGATGCTGGAGCTCCCAAAGCATCTACAAAACAAAAGTATGTTTCGATGTCCATCAAACAAAAAGTGGAATTGCTACAAAAAATGGATAAAGGCATATCCTTTGTTTATCTAACCGTTCTGAAATCTGTTTATCAGTTTCACGCTGCTCTGCGTGGGGGGGGGGCGTCGCGGCGCACAATGAACTGGAAGTTGATCTGTCAGCACTATCGTTATCTTCAGGGCAGATGTTTTTATTTTATTCGGCTTATAATTCCTTACTAAATGTAGTACTTCATCTCAATGTACTCCGTCTTTGATATGATTTAAATCAAATTCCTCGTCATTATAAATATCACGAATACAAATCAAATAGTTTTCTGGTTGCAATTTTCTAATTTCGGCTATGCATAATGTATGCTTTATGCATGCGCGCATTGAAAGAAATGTTTAATAAAGTAAACAAATAAATATTAATCTTTTTTTTTTTTTTTTTTTTTTTGTAAATTTTGATACCCTTTAGATCATAATTGCTCATTATTTTATAAATTATGGTTTCTATTTTATAAATTACGGTTTCATATTTTTAATTTTATAATTTCTGCATGCCATCTTACCAGATTTAAACTGATGATTTATAATCCGGAAAAATCGATAATCCTGAATCGCCGAAGTCCCGACGAGTCCGGATTAAAGACTTTTGACTGTACAGCTGCTTTTACACTTTCAGCAGTGAAGAAAGTGATCGAAATCGGAAATCACGCTGTGGATAAAGAATTTCATGTTGACAAGCGATGCGTGGAAGTCCAAACAAGAAAAATTAGAGAAAATACCTAAGAATAAAAGATCTTGTCGAATTGGTGTCATAGCCAGGCCTGTTTTCGAAGACACTTTAGAGAAATGGATAATAGAACCCAGAGAAAGTAGATTATCAGTATCAACAGTTAAAATTCGTCTTCAAGCAAAGATAATTGCTGGGCAAATAGGCATTAAAAATTTTGTTGGAGGACCTAATTGGTGTTTCAGGTTGATGAAGCGAAAGAAATTATCTATCAGGACCAAAACAACATTTGGACAAAAGCTTCCTGTGGACTGGCTTGAAAAAAAGATAGCTTTTATGGAGTACACTTAAAGAAAATTTAAAAAACAAAATTTTAAAAGGGGCCGAATAATTAATATGGGTGAAGTGCCCATTACTTTTGACTGGTCCTCCAAGCAGAAATGTTCATTCAATAGGTGAAAAAACTAATTTACTGTTAACAACCGGGAATGAAAAGACTTCTTTTACTTGTGTTTTGGGTTGTACCACCAATGGAGAGAAGTTAAGAAGTTTAATTCCAAAACAATTCCAAAAGGAAACTTCCCTAAAGGTGTTACTATTTGCGCCAGTGAAAAAAGATGGATGTGTGAAGAAGTGATGTTTGGCTAAGAGAAATATGGTCAAAAAGGAGAGATGCTTTTTTTCTAACCCTGGAGGACTCGTTGTGGATTCAATGTGATCCCATTTAGACAATACGGTAAGATCTAATACAAAAAAACTTAGCACTGATGTCTCAGTGAAACTAAGTGGGCTTACAAAAATTTTGCAGTTGCTGGATCTCACTATTAATGGAATTTTGAAGCATGAATGAACTACAAAAGCAGTGGGAGGAATGGATGCCAAGCGGACTCTATTCCTTCACAAATTCTGGACTAATGGGAAAAGCTTCATATGAGGAGGCTGCCTTATAGGTCTATAAAGTATGGCAATCAGTGCGAGCTGATATGGTCGGCTTTCATCAAGTCAAAAATCATCGAAAATGAAAAGGAAGATAAAGGTTGAAAGAAGTGATTTAGAATAGAATTGATGAAATTGACCTCAATAGTTATTTGTTAAATTTACTTAATTCCGACATCAATGAGTCGGATTTTGAAGGTTTTGTATAAATAAATGTAGTTTAATTTAATTACAAACTTCTGTTTGTTTATCTAATTTACGTATTCCGCTTCATAATATAGTAATTTATGGTGATGAACGAAGTTTACCGAACCCGCAAAAATAATATCTGATAGAAATCATCAGAATTTGTTTAAGTAGAAAATCATCGAAAAAGAAAATGAAAAGGAAGATAGTGACGTTGAAAAAAGTGATTTAGAATAGAATTGTTGAAATTGACCTCAATAGTCATTTGTTAAATTTACTTAATTCTGACATCAATGAATCGGATCTTGAAGGTTTTATATAAATAAATGTAGTTTAATTTAAGTACAAATTTATGTTTGTTTATCTAATTTACGTATTCCGTTTCATAATATGGTAATTTATGGGGATGAACAAAGTTTACCAAACCCGTAAAAATAATATCTGATAGAAATCATCAGAATTTGTTTTTGGCAAGCTCAAGGTAAGATGTTTCTTCCTTATTTATATATATATATATTAATGTTGTAAACATTATCAATGATGATTACATAATATGGCAGGGAATTACTGAATAAATGAATCTTAAGTGCCATATTTTGGAATGCTTTGCTGTGGCGTATACGGCAGTGTGGCGTATTCAATTAACTTAATGTTATTTTTTTATTATTCAATTAACTTCATGTTATTATCATTTTTTCAGTCAATTATCATGTGTGCGGCGTATATGCCAGGGTGGCTTATCTACCCAAAATTACGGTAATTTAGAAATCAAAACAACAAAAATCAGCGTTGTATTTGCAAATTTTAACTGAACTAGTTTCTGTGGTTTTACCGAACCATCAGCATCAGTTGCCAAGGTACAAAGAATGAGATAAGATATAGTGACAAGATATCATAAGAATAGCTGGACAGAAGTTAAGCTACTGACACCAATCTATTGATGAAACAAGAAAACTAAAACATACTTACCTTAAAGGCTGAAGATAAAGATGGGTTGGAATTAGAGTCGTTAACTAGAACAGAAAGATTTCTTTAAATGTAAAATGCCTCTAGAAAATCTGCTTCACCAATGGAAGATGTTTTTTGAATAATTTTGGCTGCAAAAAAAAATTTTAAATGTGATTTTTCAGACTTTCAACGCTGGGCAGTAGAGGACTTCTATGTTTCCTTTTTCCTAACACATGCCTCATGTTCCTTAATGCGGGGTCCTTAAGTATGGAACTTGGAATTTTATTGATAGGAAAATACATTGATAGAGAACGACCCAAAAATTAAATTTCTATAAAATGCATGCAGTTTTATAGCTAATTGATGAAAAGAAAGGAATAACAGAATTCTTATAATCTCCTAAAACAAGAGTGTGCTTTTTTGGTGTACTGAGATGAGAATTTTTTAACTGCTTGGTTAATAATGTTGGGTGAAAAAGCCCCTGTCAATAGCCCTTACTTTTAAATAATTTAGTTCTTGATCAAGAGACAATTTGGAGGAGCAAACTTGAAGAGCACGGAAAACAAAGGAATAAAATGAGAGCTAACTTTTGTTTAGTCGGATGACATGATTTGAAGTGTGGTGGAAGGCAAACCGATGAAGGTTTACGGTAAATCATACTACTGAAGTTGGATCTGTTACGTGTGTGACCAAAATGTCGAGGAACAGGAAGAAATTGCAAGTCTCAAGTTCAAAAGTGAACTGAATAGCAAGATCAATGGAATTCATTATT